TTTTGTCAAATGCTTTTTGTAGGTCAATAAATATTCCCATCGTGTATTTCCTCTCATCCATAGCACTTGTTATGTCCTCCATTAGGTCGGTAATCGCCAGAGATGTCGATCGGTTCGACCTAAAACCATATTGGCAATCAGAGTCTATCAATAAATGTGTCTAATCTGTTATTAAAGAGTTTTTCCAAGATTTTTGAAAACTGTGACAACAGAGGAATTTAGGAAGTTATGTGATGTTGACAAAATACTATATATTTTCTGGGATGTTAATGATAACCATAAGACCTGTTGCATCCTTGTACAGTGTGTGATATAGTCTTATAATGTACTAGCTTGCTCTTGTTAATAGCATATTAATTGTTGCTTACTAATAATATAACAATGGTCTTCTTTACTTAAAACTGATGCTCTCAAATAAAACTAACAATGAACATTGAACTCACTTTTGCAAAATGATTCTGCTTAGGTTTGCGGGGTGTCTTTTGTGCTGGTGCCTTAGCTGGTTTACACCTGTCATAGACAGCTGTCTTTAAGAGCTTTTCTTACTCTTTTAAGCTTGTGCAGTGGTTAGTTCACATGGTGAAACAACTTATCAACTTGTCTTTAATGGCAACCGCTTTCTGACATAGTTATTGTCTTCAATAGGAGAAATATGCACATTGGAGTTTGATTATATAAGAGGCTGTGAAGGCTTGGAGAATTTCTTTAAGCCCCAGAATTGAGATCAAGGGTTTCTACTGGAATGCAGGGAAGGAATTCTTTACTTGGCAATATCATGTGGTTGACAAAATAATGCATTCCTTTTGCTTAAAGTGGTACCATTTAGCTGTCATATGTTGAATAACAAGTGCTACATTTGTTAGATGAGTCTAAATAATCCAAAATGGCGTTTGTGTGAACTGGGAATCTACAGTGATGGAAAGAGCAGGGTGCACTGAAAATGAAATGTGGCTCTTGTAGTTGACTCTCCTGAGGGATATTCTCTGTTGTATCTCCATAATATACAGATGGGGCACCTCACACAAGTCACCCAAGAAAGACTGTGCTCAGTAAATACTCAGAGGGAACAAAAAGGGACCAGTAATGAAAGACTAAACATGCAAACAGTATTATCAGTGCAGGCAGCATGGTATGTTTAGTTGTAGGGATTTACTGGATTTTGGTCTTTTTATGTAATAACTTCATGCTAAAGGAAGAAAAAAAAATCTTAACTGTGTGGGGATCAGGCGAGAAGTTTAAGGGATGGCTCTAAATCTGATTAGGCTGAAGTAAAAAGAAACTGCAGTGAACATGTGAAACAGCATTAACTTCTGTCACTGACAAACCAGTGTCCATGTTCAAGCCAGAAAATAATGCACCTATACAGCTGAGCAGATAATTATATTGATTTTTTTTTTTTTTTGTTTAGTTAATGTTCACTCAGTCTTTAAGTATATGACTATTTATGATTCAGTGTTAATAGAAAGATTATCGAATGAAAATGTTCTGTTTCTCTGCAGGATGGCTCAAGACAACGTAAAGAGAGAAAAAAGACAGTATCATTCAGCAGCATGCCCACTGAGAAGAAAATCAGCAGCGCAGGAGACTGCATCAGCGCAATGGTGGACGGCTCTGAGCTGAAAAAAGTGCGGTCCAATTCACGCATTTACCACCGCTACTTTCTCCTTGATGCTGACATGCAGTCTTTGAGATGGGAGCCTTCGAAGAAGGAATCAGAAAAGGCCAGAATTGATGTAAAATCCATCAAGGAGGTTCGGACAGGAAAAAATACAGACACTTTTAGAACTAATGGAGCCTATGATCAGATATCAGAGGACTGTGCATTCTCAGTCATCTTTGGGGAGAACTATGAGTCTCTGGACTTGGTGGCAAACACTGCAGACGTAGCCAACATATGGGTCACAGGGCTGAGGTACTTGATGTCCTATGGGAAACATACTCTAAATATGATAGAGAACAGTCAGAACAACATGCAATCATCATGGCTAGGTGAACTTTTTGATGAGGCAGACAGTAACAACAGCAAGCAAATAACAATATGTGCTGCTGTGCAGCTTGTCAAAAAGCTAAACCCAGGACTTAAAAATGTGAAAGTAGAACTGAAGTTCAAGGAGCTTCAGAAAGCTAAAGACAAAGCAGGTTCTGATGTAACAAAAGAGGAGTTTGTTGAGGTTTTTCATGATCTTTGCACAAGGCCAGAAATTTATTTCCTCTTTGTTCAGTTCTCCAGCAACAAAGAATTCATGGATACCAAGGACTTAATGATCTTTCTGGAGGCAGAGCAGGGCATGGCACAAGTCAGTGAAGACACAAGCTTAGAGGTCATTCAGAAATATGAGCCGTCTAAGGAGAGCCAGCTCAAGGGTTGGCTTTCTCTCCATGGGTTCACAAACTACCTTATGTCACCAGAGTGCCAAATATTTGACCCTGAACAAAAAACGGTCTGTCAAGACATGAACCAGCCCTTGTCCCACTATTTCATCAATTCATCCCACAATACATACCTGATAGAAGATCAGTTCAGAGGTCCCTCAGATGTGACAGGATATATCCGTGCCCTAAAGATGGGCTGCCGCAGTGTAGAGCTGGATGTGTGGGACGGGCCTGATAATGAACCTGTCATTTACACTGGTCATACGATGACCTCACAGATTGTTTTTCGCAGCGTCATAGATGTCATCAACAAGTATGCTTTTGTTGCGTCTGAGTTTCCACTGATACTGTGTCTAGAAAACCATTGCTCCTTAAAACAGCAAAAAGTCATGTTTCAGCATCTAAAGAAGATCCTTGGAGACAGGCTCCACCTAGACTCTCCTAAACCTGAGGACTGCTACCTCCCCTCTCCCTCTGAACTGAAAGGGAAGATCCTTCTGAAGGGTAAGAAATTGCCTACAAACTGCACAGCTTCTGAAGGTGAGGTGACAGATGAGGATGAGGGGGCAGAGATGTCTCAGAGGGTGAGCATTGAGTCTGCGGAACAACAGACTATTGTATCCAAGAAATTCCAGCTATCAAAGGACCTGTCTGATCTGGTGACTTTGTGTAAATCTGTGATGTTCAAAGACTTCCCAACATCTTTTCAGAGCCAGAAGCATTGGGAGCTTTGCTCTTTTAATGAGGTCTTTGCCAGTCGCTGTGCAAGTGAATTCCCAGGTGACTTTGTTAACTATAACAAGAAGTTCCTAGCACGAGTTTACCCCAGCCCCATGCGAATTGACTCAAGCAACATGAATCCACAAGATTTCTGGAAGTGTGGTTGCCAGATCGTGGCAATGAACTACCAGACTCCAGGCCTGATGATGGATTTGAACATCGGCTGGTTCCGCCAGAATGGGAATTGTGGCTATGTGCTACGTCCAGCAATCATGAGGGAGCAGGTGTCATATTTTAGTGCCAACACTAAGGATTCAGTGCCTGGTGTTTCACCACAGCTCCTACACATCAAGATCATCAGTGGACAAAACATCCCCAAGCCCAAAGGCTCAGGTGCCAAAGGAGATGTAGTAGACCCCTATGTATATGTGGAGATACACGGCATTCCAGCTGACTGTGCTGAACAAAGGACTAAAACAGTCAACCAGAATGGGGACAGTCCTCTGTTTGATGAGAGCTTTGAGTTCCAAATTAACCTCCCAGAGCTCGTAATGGTGCGCTTTGTGGTGCTAGATGATGACTACATTGGGGATGAATTTATTGGCCAGTATACAATCCCCTTTGAGTGCCTCCAGCCAGGTTTCCGCCATATACCGCTACAGTCATTGACAGGGGAAGTGCTGCCACATACATTGTTATTTGTTCATGTGGCCATAACCAATCGAAGAGGAGGTGGCAAACCACATAAAAGGGGACTGTCTGTACGAAAAGGCAAGAGGAGTAGAGAGTATGCTAGCATGAGAGTGCTGCTGATCAAGACTTTGGATGACGTCTTCAAAACAGCCATCCTGCCACTGAGAGAGGGAACAGACCTTCGAGAAAACATGCAGGTAAGACATTAACATCCATTCAGTGTTTATTTGATTCATTTATATCATCACCAGGAAGCTATCAGTACCATTATGGATATACAGTATGTGGTAGCTGCACAACCTTCTCTTCCGTCTTCCAGCATGACGACTTTTCTCAGATCGAGTAGAGTAAATGTACCCCCAAGTCAAGCACAGATTACAACCACGTTGTCTAATGAAGCTCCCTCTTTGGAAAGAGAAACACAAAACCACTAAGCTTGACTGAATCAGATCAATCCAGTGTTAATTTCGACACCTGAATTTGATTTCATTTTAGTCTTTTGACAAAAATGTATATTTCTTCTAGTTTTAGCCAATAAAAACTAAATATCTTTTAGTCTGGTTTTTGTCACATTTAAACAGCATTTTTAATATGTACTGTAGGCAGTGTCTTCATCTTGTTTGTGTACAGTTACCATGCTTACACACGTTCTGTCTGTTGTGAGGTTTGCGGAAAATACGGTTTTATTCACACAGTCTCCCTCTGCTCTGTAGAAGTGGCACTCCCTGGGTTCAGCTTGAGACGGGACGCTAAATCATTGGAGAACATTAAAACAGTGAGATCTCTACAGCATTTAGAAATGATTTATCTTTTACTGCTCGCATTAATCCTGATGGCAAGACAAAAGATATAACTGAAAGGAACGTTAATGTTACATATACATCCACACCGCACATCTCACTGTTTCAAATGGTGTGCTGCTACATCTTCCTAGTGTGTCCCATCAGTTTTTGTGCGTAATTTTCTAGATTGTAGATGAATATGATTCGTAATTTTGTATCTTCCAGGAAGCGCTAATGATTGTAGATGAATATGATTCGCAAGTTTGTATCTTCCAGGAAGCGCTAATGCCAAAAACAGAACGTTACTGAATATAACATGGTAGTGAAACACAGCAAGCGGTTAATTCAACAATAGTTTGGCTGGTGAAAGAAACAGTTTTACTGATCAGAGCCTACAGTTTCTGATTCCACAGAAGCGGCAGGTTATCGTTGTTACTTCATGGCCATTCATCCACCTTTCACACTGTTTACATTTTATTCCGTAATGAAAAAACATAAACCATTTTGATGTTCTCGTTATCAAATACTGCACTTTATTTAGTTTGTTTCATTTTCATCTTGAAAAATAGGTCGTCAACAAATATTATTCATCAGTTTTTGTTAACGGAATTAACTAGTGAAAGGAAATGGCAGAAAGAAGAACCAAGAAATGTAAATTCATATAATAGATACTTCAAATGTGTAAATTGAAATAGAAGAGGTAACCATTAATATTGTTGGAATCATGACATTTACAGTGGGTACGGAAAGTATTCAGACCCCCTTAAATTTTTCACTCTTTGTTATATTGCAGCCATATGCTAAAATCATTTAAGTTCATTTTTTTTCCTCAATGTACACACAGCACCCCATATTGACAGAAAAACACAGAGTTTTTGACATTTTTGCAGATTTATTAAAAAAGAAAAACTGAAATATCACATGGTCATAAGTATTCAGACCCTTTGCTGTGACACTCATATATTTAACTTAGGTGCTGTCCATTTCTTCTGATCATCCCTGAGATGGTTCTACACCTTCATTTGAGTCCAACTGTGTTTGATTATACTGATTGGATGTGATTAGGAAAGCCACACACCTGTCTATATAAGACCCTACAGCTCACAGTGCA